TGAGACTCAAGGAGAATACATGACCAGGCATGTGGTCTGGCTGGTGACCACATTGGTCACCGATAAGGGAAGAGGGGAAAAAAACAGCAATGAAGTGCGAGCTGAGCCCGACCACATTCAACAGACCCCTGTGAACCCGGGTGGAGACCTGGATGGCCAGCAGTACAGCAAGACCTGGGGACTCCTGGGCCCAGAGGCAGTGACATGGCCCCAGAGGACTAGAGTGGAAAGTGAAGTGTCCAGCTGATATGAAGTGAGGGGAGAAACACAAGAATACCCATGCTTTCAGATAGTACTCACTTGACCTGGCTTCATTGGCTGGACAATCAGAACTCAACTATAAGAAGAAAGAAGAGGGGAAAAAGAAAAAAAGAGTAACCTACTACAATTTGATGAACTTTACCTACACTCTGGTAGCGTAGTGGTTACGAATCGGGCTGCGAACCTTAAGGTCAGCGGTTCGAAACTACCAGCTACTCCGCGGGAGAAAGATGAGGCTTTCTACTCCCGTAAGGATTTACACCCTCGGAAACCCTGTACAGGGTCGCTATGGGTCGGACCCGACTCGACGGCACTTAACAACAACAACAACAATGGATGTAGTAGCTCAAAAAAAGGAACAAATCTTTACAGAGAGGATCACTCCCACCCCCTCAGTACACAGGGTTGACAGGGTTGGGCAACATAGAATAGACATTGGCTACCCAAAATGGGGGAGGGGAGTGCCTATAAAGGCGAGAAGTGACTGGCTTACAAGCTTTTAAGAGGGAGCCTAACTCCAGACGGGGCGGGTATAGGTAGAAATCACCACTGAATGATTTCTAATCCTTTGGGACCAGGCTGGCAAAAGGAAATGGGGATAAGACTCTTGTGGTACAGTGGTGAATAATTGTCATTAAGTCTGACTGTGAGGTTAGGAAATGTAGAGGTAGATGTTTTTTGACAAAAGGAGGAGAGTTACTGATTTTGCAGCCCAAGAGCAGAGGTCCCTGGGACCATCAAATGAGAAGAATGGAGGGCCGGATCCTACCCAGAGAGGCAGTGACGCCAGGGATGGAGACAGACAAGATGACGTGGACAGATGGAGCGGCTGGGGACACTGGACTCAGGGCGGGAGAGGGGCTGTGTGCTGGCGGCTGTTGGTAGAGGGGAGAGGGCCTGTGTCGTGTACCCTTTAGGATTATATAATGATACATGGAGGGGATTGTAATCATTTCAATGAAATGAAATACGATAAAGATGAGTATAAATCTGATATTCTCCCATGTAAACCTCACAATAAAAACTTAAAAAATAAAAATAAAAAAAGATTCTACCTGAAGTGTGGTAGATTTAGGTTTGTCTGGTTTTCCTCAGGTTATTATTTTTTGCTCAGAAATACCACAGAATTGATGTTTTCTCATTACATCAGACCAGGAGACACAATATCAGTATGTCCTTTACTGGTACCTTTATCACTTGGTTAAGATCGTGTCTGCCAAGTTTTCCCAGTTGAGACACTTGAAATTATAAAAACAAAGCATAGATTTTAATATTTGTGAGATGCTTAAATTAAAAGTAATTTATTTATAATTGATCATATTAGTAAGTTCCTAAATGAAGTATACTGTAATATAAGTTGTTATTGTTGTTAAGTGTTGTCAAGTCAGTCCCAACTCAAAGAAACCCTGTATAGGGTTTCTGAGGAGCAGCTGATGGGTTTGAACTGCTGACCTCACTGTTCAAACCGACCTTGTGGTCCAGGGCTTATCCTATGGCGCCACACCAGGACCACATATAAGTAGGAGTTGATCATTTTCTAATAATTAACATATTTATAAACATCAGTTTATTTAAACTTGTACATAGGACAAACTATGTCTGTTCTGCAGATCAGCCACAAACCATAACAGATTATTACAGTTCTTGTTTAAATTTGTTATTTGAAAATGTGTGAAATTTTTAACATCAATATTCCCAAAACCAGACCAACTGCCACTGAGTTGATCTTTTACTCATAACAGCCCTGCAGGATAGTAGAACTACCACTTAAGGTTACCAAGGCTATAAGTCTCTACAGAAGCAGACTATTACATCTTTTTCCTTCAGAACAGTTGATTACTCTGAACCACTTACCTTTTGTTTCGTGGTTGAACACTTTAACCAGTGTGCCACCAAGACTCTGTAAACATCAGTATTACTCACTGCCATTGAGTCTATTCTGACTCATAGTGAATCTGTAGGACAGAGTAGAATTACTCCACAGGGTTTCTGAGACTAAATCTTGTAGGGAACAGACAGCCATGTGTTTCTCCTTCAGAGTGACTGGTGGGTTTAGATTGGTCACCTTGTGGTTAGTAGCCTAGTGTTTATCCCACTGTGCCACCAGGGCTCTTTAAACATCCATATTAATGACCACTAAATAACTTTCTGGACTCCTGGTGTGGTACTGAGTCAAAACAGATTCTATGGTACTTAACAAAAACAACAGCAAACTAGGCTAATAAATTACTACATACAAACATTTGCAATATGAAGAAAAAAACCTGACATATTGGTTGAAACATAATCACTATTATAAATTTGTATACCAAGTCAGAAGGAACCATTTTAGTCAATTTTTATTGTGCTTTAAGAGAAAATTTTCAGATCAAATTATTTTCCTATTCAATAGTTTGTACATAAAGTATTTCATGACATTGGTTGCATTCCCCACAATATGTCATCCATTTCTTACCTGGGTTCTCCATGTCCTTTTGTGTGGATTTTCTACCCTCTCCTGACTTCTCATCGTTTTTTTTTTGAGCAAGTGATGGTGTTTGTTTTTGTTTTTGTGTTTTAATCTCATGATTGTTGTAAGGAACTTGTGGATATTATTGTTTATTTTACTGGCCTATCTTGCTTAGCTGAAAGGTGTTCTTGAGAAATGTTTTCAGGTCCAGGTCAGAAGGGTGTTTTAGGGCCATGGTCTTAGAGTTTCTCCAGTCTCTGTCAGACCAGTAAGTTTCACCTTTTTTATGAATTTGATTTTTTGCTACATTTCCCTCCCTCTTTGTCTAGAACCCTGTTTGTCCTAGACAAAGATTTTTGTCATAGCGGTCAGTAGAAGTAGCCAGGCACCACCTAGTTCTTTCAGTCTCAGGGTCTGTAGGCTGTGGTTGATGTGGTCTATTATTAGTCCCTTTGACTAATTGCTCCCTCAGTTCTTTGGTTTTCTTTACTCTCCTTTGTAACAATTTAGAAGAAATCAATAGTTGTATATTAGATGGCAGTGTTGTTATTGTTGTTGTTAAGTGCCGTCGAGTCGGTTCCGACCCATAGCGACCCTGTATAGGGTTTCCGAGGGTGTAAATCTTTACGGGAGTAGAAA